AATTATTTTTTTATTTGGGACACCCTCTATATTTTTAATTAACTGAAAAGAATTTAAAATTACCTTTCCAAAAATATAGCACACTTGATATTTTGTTATAATCCCCTTCGAAATACAGAATCTTTAAAAGTTCGCCACTTTTAACTAGTAGGCTTTGGACCCCTTATTGATGATATGCCCTTAATGGAACACGAAAACATATTTTTCCAGCAAGACGACGCACCGCCTCTGAACGCTGAAGTTATCAGCAAATTTTTGCAGCCAATTTCAAGAATAATTGAATAGCTAACGAAGATCCCAGCCGTTGCCCGTCGAGGCCGCCTGACTTAGTGCCCATGGATCTAATCCGTATATATATATTATATATTCCGATATATATATATATATATATATATATATATATATATATATATATATATAGTATATATATATATATATATATATATATATATATATATATATATATATATATATATATTTTGCGGAAGAATAAAGGTTCCTTATTCTTCCGTATAATCTAGACAAGAATTAGAAATTCTTAGCAGTTATGAGAGGGTATCTTTCACCCCCACTGAGTTAATGAATTCCGCGAGAAATATTCAAAAAATGCCCCGTCTGTCCATAACAAAAGACGGTCGATATGTCGAACACCTGTAGCAAAATCTCATGCCTTGGTTTCCTATTTATTTTTATTGTTATTAGATATAGTTTAAATGTGTTGATGTTGGTTAAATATATTTTAAATTGTTATAAAATTCTGCATCTCCCATAGCAAATAATATTTTTGTTTTAATTGATGCTCACAGCTAGATTTTTTTTGCATTACAGCCGGTGCCGTTCAAAGCCTACTTATTTAAAGCAGGCGAATTTTTATATACTCTATATCTCGAAGAGGAATCGAGCAAAATATCAAGTGTGTTATATTTTTGGAAAGATAATTTTAAATTATTTTCAATAAATTAAAAACATACAGGGTGTCCCATATAAAAAATCAAATTTTCTGTTGATAATTCTTAAATTATTAATTTTAAAAAAATTATACTTAAACCATTAAATTTTACGTAAAAAGGTGCTTTGGGAATGTTTTCATGAAAATACAAAATTTTCCATAGTAAAAAAGTTACAGCGATTTGTTAAAAATGCATATTTTTGAAAACACCCCGTAACTCCGAAACGGTAACAACTATCGATATGTGGTTTTCACCATCATGTTTTTGACAAAATTTGAGCTCCAGACACCGATATTAGTTTTTGTCTATCTCCTATAGAAAAGGGTGTTTCCATTTAAAAGCGTTGAATTTGTGCCCCCTATGTATACATAGTACCTGTACACAATAGATCTGTAAGGTCGCGGTTATTAACTCCTCTTCTAAACATTCTACATTCTACCCAAATGCACGTCCCTGGTGAATCTGTCGACACTTTTTTTAGCAATAAAATGTATAACACTTAGAGAAACTTTTATCCACAAAATTTCATTAGAATCAATAAAAGTACTTGAAAGAAAATTATAATAACCTCCTATGGCTACAAAACAAATCAGAATCGGACCTATGTTGGTATAAAATATAAATCTTATTTTTAGGTAAGAAATCTCCCCACGAGAGCATATGTTTTTTCAAACACCCTGAATAATAAATTTGAAACATGGGTTCTAAATAACAATAAATAATTAATTAATATTCTTTTTTCCTTTTCAACATTCTTCTTGTTTGGGCGTTTTGGCTGTGGTTTTGGGGTCTTTTGCCGGTTTTTCATTAAATTTTCAAAATAAAAAAGACCGCAATCGCTATCCTAAATTTCCATCAGTAAATTAAGATTAATTTTGACATTTCAAATAAAAAATAAAGGTGTTTTTATTTAACCCCAAATTATTTATTACAAAATCACAAGCTCACTTCTTGTTGAACCGGAAATGACATTTATTTCTTTTTAAATGGTAAATTTTTGGTGCACCAATTTTTGCGATTTATTTGTTAAAAGAGAATATAATGGTAATCTACTCAATGTTTGTGGTCACCCGATATATTTGTTTAAAATTAAAAAACTTTTAAATTATTTTTATAACAACTCAATTTTAGCAGAATGTCCGAATTTGGACAAAACTTTTTCTAGAAATTCTTTATATCAGAAAAAACGATAAAAAATTAATGAAAATATGAATATTAAGTTCTAATTAGTAAATTTTTTTTTTCATTTTTTTAGCAATTCCCATTGATCTCGAATTTTTCATTTAATATGAAAAAATTAAAATTATTTTTAAATTCAAAGGTAGGGAAAAAGGGGGTTTCTACGCCAGAGGAGGAGGAGCAGCAACTTAATTATAAAGAGACTTATTTATAAAAATTTCTAAAATTAATTCAAATATAGGTAACTATTATCCATAGTATGTATAATACCATGCTGTTTATAGCAAAATAAAACACTAAATCACCACAATACACCAAAACACATTTACTTTTACACTGGACGCGCGTTTCGCTAACCATGTTAGCATCATCGGCAGATGATTAAAACTAATAAGGTTAGCGAAACGCGCGTCCAGTGTAAAAGTAAAAGTATTTTGGTGTATTGTGGTGATTTAGTGTTTTATTTTGCTATGTAACACCAAAAGCTCCAACCCCCAACTGTAATGCTGTTTATACAGGGAGTCCGGAAATTAATGCAACAAAATTTGGTCATAGATTCTTGAAAAAAAAATAGGTGACCCGTATTTTTTATTTTTGGCGAGTGGCCCCCTTTTTCGGATTTACAGCCCCCTGAATTTCGCCCCTAAAAAGATTTTTTTTTAATATTTCATGGTCCTGTTGGACGAAAATCACTAAATTTGGTACACGTTATTTTACCATAAAATGACATTTTTTGATGCTATTAACTTTTTTATTTTCATCAGTGGCGTCCCTACGGTATTTATACAAAATATTATTGAAGAAAAAAATGGTACGCGTTTCGCTAACCATGTTAGCATCATCGGCAGATGATTAAAACTAACAAGGTTAGCGAAACGCGCGTCCAGTGTAAAAGTGAAAGTATTTTGGTGTATTGTGGTGATTTAGTGTTTTATTTTGCTATGTAACACCAAAAGCTCCAACCCCCAACTGTAATGCTGTTTATACAGGGAGTCCGGAAATTAATGCAACAAAATTTGGTCATAGATTCTTGAAAAAAAATAGGTGACCCGTATTTTTCATTTTTGGCGAGTGGCCCCCTTTTTCGGATTTACAGCCCCCTGAATTTCGCCCCTAAAAAGATTTTTTTTTAATATTTCAGGGTCCTGTTGGACGAAAATCACTAAATTTGGTACACGTTATTTTACCATAAAATGACATTTTTTGATGCTATTAACTTTTTTTATTTTCATCAGTGGCGTCCCTACGGTATTTATACAAAATATTATTGAAGAAAAAAATGGTACGCCACTGTTTTTTTTTAAATAAAAATTATTTTTAAAATTCTCATTAAATTTGGAACAAATTTGATCTCTTGACTTTCTTTTGGTACGACGCACCGTTTTCGCGTAAAAAAATAAAAACCATTTATAAATCGCTAAAATTTTACCGTAAATTTCAATGGCAACATTTTTAAAACTGCAAACTTAAGTTTAAAATAATTTTTTATTTTCCAAAATCTTGTTTTTATTCTAAGTGCGAACCAAAATGTCCAAAAATCTAAATTGCCGTTTTTTAAATTTTGCTATGAAAATTTACATTAAAATTTTAGCGATTTGGTCATGTATGAAAATGGTTTGTATTTTTTTACGCGAAAACGGCGTGTCGTACCAAAAAAAAAGTCAAGAGATCAAATTTGTTCCAAATTTAATGTAGATTTTAAAAATAATTTTTATTTAAAAAAAGCCAGTAGCGTACCATTTTTTTCTTCAATAATATTTGGTTTAAATACCGTAGGGAAGCCACTGATAAAAATAAAAAATTTAATAGCATCAAAAAATTTCATTTTATGGTAAAACAACGTGTATCAAATTTAGTGATTTTCGTCCAACAGGGTCGTGAGATATAAAAAAAACTCTTTTTTGGGGCGAAATTCAGGGGGCTGCAAATCCGAAAAGGGGGGCCTCTGGTCAAAAATAAAAAATACGGGTCACCTATTTTTTTCAAGAATCTATGACCAAATATTGTTGCTTTAATTTCCGGACACCCTGTATATTAAGAATATACATATTTAAAAAAAACACTAATCAAATTAAAATCTATTCAATACATGTAAAATAAATTAATGGTAAAGAAATCAATTCCTAATGAAGTGGCGCCAAATTACATTGTTAAAGCTTTCTGAAAGGCAATCTGTGCTTTGTGTTCCGCCCTTTCAATTTTTGGAACGATATTTTTTATTCTAGTACGTACATGAGGTCTTATAACAGGTCTTCTTAAAGGATATTTGATATTATTATTTCTCAAATTATTAAAATTTTCAACTTTACCTGGATAAAGACTATTTTCGTTTTTAGTACCTTCATTCAAATTGTGATTGTTAATTATAATAACATTTTTGCCATCAAGTGAGTCAGATTTTTTAAAATTGTTTAAAATTACAGGTCCTGATAATTGTTCTTTATTAGTTTTATCTTGTTGTCTGCGCTGTATTGGTATATTTATATTTTTTCGATTATGAAACTTGTTAGATGTCCTATTTGGAAAAAGTTTTACACTTTGAAAATTCACGGCGGTATATGGATTTTGTTTTAAACTTTTAAAATTACCCAAACCCGTTGTTACAACGTTCTGATCGTCAAAAGAATAATTTATTTCACATGGTTTCCTATTCTGGGCTTTAACTTCTACACCTAAAGATAAGTTATCTGGATTTGAGTTAAACGGACTATATATTCGTCGATTTACTGAGTTCTGATCTTTATTATAACCCTTTGGATAAGAATCGAGGTTAGAAACAACAATTTTTTTACCATCAAAAGAATAGTTTATATGAGAAGGTCGTCTCTGATTAATATTAGTACTCCTTTTAGTTCTAAAACTCATACTTACTTCACTATACTGTTTTTCTTTCGAATATAAGTGATTTTGTACAGCTCCTCTAGTAGGTGTCAATGGAGGAACAGCCAGTTGTACTACGGAAGCCCTGTTTGGTTCTGGAGCTGTTATATGGGGTTGTACTGACTGAACGATTACAGGCGAGGCTGGAGTAGGTAAAGGAATGTAATTCTGTTCTTGTTCCGGTGCATAAACTTGCTTTTGATAAGTTGGAACATTCGAAACGATATGGAGTTTAGGGGAACCAGATGCTGTTTTCGTATAGTGTACTGGTTGATACACTCGTCCTCTAGGAATAGTTGAGGTTATGTTCACCTTTGGTTCATTATATGAAGGTGCATAAACTGTATTATAACGTACACTATGAGGAATAACAAGCTCTTCTTGGTTTCCTTGAAGAGGTAGAGATTCTGGTGCGCTTGGTGCACTATCAACTTGAATTGAATCAGGCAGCTCCTGTGGTTGCCGTTCCAAATAACTTTCATTTAATACTTCTGGTGCTGCTGTTGTAGATGACACATAACCCTGAGGTGTTTCCGACGAAACTATAACAGATTCAGGAGTAACGAAATTTTCTTCGTTAGGTAATTCTAGCGTATTTATAGGCGCGCCACCATTATTATGAGCGGCAATTTTAGCTAAAACTTCCTCTTCGGCTTGCTTTTGAGCTAATTCGATTGCTTTGTGCTGGGCCTTCACGTGTTCCTCAGCTTGTTTTTGAGCTGCAGCCAAAAGAGCATCAGACCTTGCTTTGTTTACAGCATCCAACTGCTCTTGTAATGACTGGAATTGTGAGTTATCAGGTTGACCAGAAGGAGATCCGTTATGTTCGATAAAAACAGGAGAAAACTCTTTTTGGATTACTTCTGGTAAAGCCTTTCGTAAAACGGGATCGTCACCTAAAATTCTTTGTAAACCTTCAAGTTGTAGTTCTGGATTTTTACCGAGCAGACTTTCCAGTTCGCTGAGTTGAACTTCGTTGGGCTTAATGTTTGGTAACTGAGGAGCAGCATTTTTTAATATCTGGCTTGCTGCTTTTGGTTCAATTCCTAGATTGTTGCTAAGAAGACTAGGTTGAACATATATAAAGCGAGTATTTTCGTCTTGATCCGATGTCAAAGCGGGCGGTGCTGGTACATTTTCTTGGTTTACTTCGCTACCAGCAAAGTTCAAATCACTTAATACGTTCTTTTCGTTACGTTTAGGTACTGCTGTTTTTTTATAATTTGCTTTAGGGACAGCATGTCTTGGTTGAAATGGTTTCCAGTCGTCACCGCTAAAATCATGCGCAGGTTTATGTACTGCTGACTGCTGTTGTAATTCAAAAAAGGCGTCAGCATTGATGGGAAACATTTTCGTGTTTTTCAAGTTTAAAATATCGACTGTTTGCTGGCGAAGATATTTTGCTCTGAGACGATCTTGCTGACTGGAAGGTTGATAATGGAATGCTGGTGGAAAGTAATTCATTTGGACACCGCTAGAGTGTCTTGCGTTTCGAACAAGTTCATGTAAACGATCATTGTGCTCTTCATGGACTTGAGGTGCATGTTTACTTGCTGATACAATAGTTGATAAGCAGATGACCAGCAACTAAAAAATAAAAACATACATTAGTATATTTATCAAATACAGGTTTTTGTTTTAATAAATATAGACTGCATAAAATATTGCCATTCAGTCTTAAGGATATATGCAATTATGATATTTACAAAGTGTTTTTTTGTTTTCTAATCTTTTTATTTATGATATCCCCAAAGCTATTTACAGCAACACTAGAAGAAATCTCCCGTCAACTGGACTGGATCAACAAAGGATTAAAAATAGATGGAGAATATTTTAACTATCTAAGATTCGCTAATGACATAGTCCTAATTGCTAATAGTCCTGATGAACTACAAGCACATATTAACGAACTAAGTACAGCCAGCAATAAAGTGGGCCTCAAAATGAATTTAGCAAAAACTAAAATAATATACAACGAACTAGTGAACAGAAAAGACATTCTAATAAATAATACAACACTTGAAATAGTAGAAGAATATATATATTTGGGACAACTAATTCACAACTCCGGATCTCTACTACCAGAAATCAACAGAAGAACTTACATGCCCTGTGCATGCAAAACCTGGACGTTAAAACGGACATTATAAGGAAACGGCAGGTCGCACAACGCTCAATGGAACGAAATATGCTGAGGATAACCAAGAGAGATCGTAAAAGAATAGAGTGGACACGAAAAAAGACCCATCAACAGAATTAAAACCCTCAAGTGGCAATGGGCGGGACACCTGGCAAGAAGGACGGACAACAGATGAAACACAAACATTACAGCAGGGTACCCACGAGGTATTATAAAGAACCTGAGATGGGACCATGATATTAGGGAATGGGCAGGGACAACTTGGGCCCGCATAGCCAACAATAGACAACAATAGGCCCAACTACAAAGAGATTATCTAAATATGTGAGGCTACACCATATGGTGGTGTATGGCTACACCATAATTGGAAATGGTTGAATAAGCTGAGAATGATGATGAATATATTTATAATGTGTTTTTTAATCTTTTTAAGTGGATTAACAAGTGATGTAGAATTTCCATTGACTATTCTATTGAAATAATGCATTTACTCTTAATAAGGTAAAGGACTTACTAGCTGTCGCTAATTTTTGTAATATACAGGATGACGCACATCATTCGCCTCGGTTGATTATACGAAATCGGAAAGATGTAGAAATAAAATATTTTATGAGTATATGTGGGGAGACAATGTGGCACAATTTAAAATTATTTTGAAATATACAGGGTGTTTCAGAACTAAAATCCATACCGAAGTTATATTTTTTCTTATGGAACACCCGGTATTTTATTTCATTTTTGGATTCTTGGGCCCAAAAAAAGGCATTTATTATAAGGGTTAAATATGTTTAAAATCTTTGGTTTTTGAGATATTTAAAGATATTTAAATTTGCATGCTACAATAGAATAGATTATTAACACCCTGTATATTACTTTTCAGTATTAATTCTTGTGCTGAGTTTAAAGGTAGAGAAATAAACTTTACAGAAAAATGTTATTGCTTTCTTAAGTTTATACAGGGGTATCAAAAATTACTGATTTATTTTAAGAATTTATTTTACATAAAAACTTTGTTATTTCAAATACAACACCCTGTATTTTTTTAAATAAATCGAAGAAGATTCAAATGCTCTTTCAAACTATATTAGGGTTTCCTATACCGATATAGCTCAGATTTTGAATAAAGAGCATTTTTTCAATGAAATGGCAACCAAGAGGGCTAGTGTCGCCATGGCGAATTTAGTTTATGGACTTATTTAAATTTATACCAGTTTACTTTTATTTAATTTTGCTACAAGAGTTTAATAAACAATATTTATTAAATGTGTATTTATTATTCTATCGAGGAACACGAAGAAGTAGTTCTTTGATTTATTTTACGATGGCTTGTAGATATATGGATTTTCTATAAATGAGCCAATTACGACAAATTCATTTTCTTCACTTCCAACGACAGGTTTCTGCCTAATAGTTTTTTTTATAAACCACACTACCAGCTTGGCGAAATAGGACAAGTACTTTTTCAAAGGAACGCTTATCAGGAAGATTTCTATTTGGGAGTCTTTGACCATAAGCCCTTGAGGCCAAGAAGCATTTTTTCTGGCAAAATAAAATCACTAGAACATATCTATTTGTTCCGCCAGCAGATACTGCTTTATTTTTCTAAATAAAATAATGAATACTTACTTATTAAACTATTGTAGATAAATTAAAGTAAACTGTTACAAATTATAAATAATAATGTCTATAAACTAATGTCGACTTTGAAAATAGTTACTAACAGTCACTAGAAAATTGCCATGGCGACACCAGCCATCTTGATTGCAATTTTATTTAAAAATCGCTTTTTATTCAAAATCTCCGCTAGATAGGTATGGGAAACCCTAATATAGTTTGAAAGAGTATTTGAATCTGCTTCGACTTATTTTCAAAAATACAATGTGTTGCATTTGAAATAACGAAGTTTTTGTATAAAATATATCCTTAAAATAGATCAGCAACTTTTGATAGCCCTGTATAAATTTAAGGAATACCATTTTTCAGTAAAGTTTATTTATCTACCTTTAAACTCTAACTTAGAATAAAAATTAATTCTGAGAAAAGTAATGTACAGGGTGTTAATAATCTATTCTATTGTGGCATGCAAATTTAAATATCTTTAAATATCTCAAAAACCAAAGATTTTAGACATATTTAACCCTTATAATAAATACTTTTTTTTTTGGGCCCAAGAATCCAAAAATGAAATAAAATACCGGGTGTTCCATAAGAAAAAATATAACTTTGGTATGAATCTTAGTTCTGAAACACCCTGTATATTTCAAAATACTTTTAAACTGTGCACACTGGTCTCCCCACATTAACCCATAAAATATTTTGTTTCTACATCTTTCCGTTTTCGTATAATCAACCGAGGCGAATGAGGTGCGCTACCCTGTATGTTTATAAATTTTATCTGTAAATTTTATGAATAATATAATTTTTTAAGTACTAAAAATCAAATCGAGTTTCTTTGGTAATATGATTTTTAGGTTTTTATTCTTTAATAGGTGGTTATTATTAGTTTTGCTTAACGTCATATTTTTGCTATTTTAATATGTTAAAGAACAACATTTATTTAATTCGTTGCTACGGAAAAGGTGATTATAAATTGTGCGCTTCTTTAACATTTTAAACAATCTATCGAAGAATGAAAACCTAAAAATAATATTACCATCGAGCCGCATTTTGATTTTTGGGCCTTTAGATCGAAATTTAAAATGGTATTTTTTTTAATTAAAAATATCAAAAGTTGACATATGACATATGGTATATAAATCTATACAGAATGTAATTTTCTGTCAAATAAAATAAAAATATACCGAGGGTACCATATATAAACAAGGGTACCATTTAAAAATCAAAATTTGTAGTGATTTTCGGTGAAACAGGAAGTGAACGAAACTAATACGTCAATCAATCCTTATTAATGTCATTTACTAACATACCAAATCTCTTTTTTTTATCTGAAAGAATAAGAAAGTGGATGAGCCACTTTTGAAAAACACCTATACAATACAGGGTGGTCCGAACTGCATTCCGGAAACTTCAGCAGCATATTCTGCATATAAAAATAAGTAAAAAAGTTCGTATAAACTTGTGTCCTAAAATGTTTCGTTTCAGAGATACAGGGTGTAGAAGTTTCATATTTATTTCGATTTTTTTCTAATAATTTCTGAACTAAATTCGGTATTTGGATGAAAATTAGCATCTGGGTTTTTTTTAACATGAGAAATTTGATTTCCATGTCAATACATATAGACTCCTACTTGTAGGGGGCGCCACCTACATCTTTTTAACTGTATTGAAGAGTAATAACTCTTCGTCCGTCCCTGTATTACACCACTGAGTGAAAAAATATGCATTTCCGTAATTTTCTAAATAAAAAATATCCCTTGGTAAAAATCTCTACAAGCAACCGTGTGTGTTTTCAAGATATTAGGAATGGAAATAATCAATACATGCCATTATCGACAAAAAATAAACAATGTTGAATTAATAGTTATTTGACTGAAATAACAAATTTGAGAAATTTTTAATTTTTTAAGCTAATCATGAATTATTGTTCTAGAAAAAACATAGACTTAGCATCTAGACAATAATGTTTAGAAATGAAAAAAAAAATGAAAAAAAAATTGCGTTACAGTATCCCTTGAAAATACAAATCAGAAAATTTATTGAGCAGTCTCTCCCGTTTAGAACAGTTGGTTTAATTAAACAGGGTGAGACCTAAATAAGACTCTCCATGTTTAATTAAAAAAGCTGTTCTAAACAGGAGAGACTACTGTTCACGAAATTGTCTGATTTGTATTTTCAAGGGATACTGTAACGCAATTCTTTTTTCATCATATCGTGGTCTTTCAAAGGCGACTATAGGTTTATTCAGGGTGACTAAATAATTGCACATATTTTTAGGGGTAGCATTTTTTATCCCAGCAACACGTCTATGAGTTTTAAAATTTTGTATGTTTCGAAAAAAAAAGTGATTTTTTTTTTAAATTTTCAGTTAAAGAAGAGAATACTTTGATAACATAGGTAGTAGATTAAATTTCGAGGAAATAAAAAATAGAAAAAATCCAATGGTTTTCAAAATTTAAACAGAATAGTATATTGTTTTATTATGAGTAAAAATGGCACTTTTTGTGGCGTGGATTGTGACGTTTGACATTACAGAGGCGCAGGGGTGGATGGGCCATATGGGGAAACGGGAAAATTCCCAATGGGCCGGTGGAAAAATGGGCCGGTGGGCCGGTCCCGATCAGAGCTCAGAAAAGATTGGATTAGCAAAAATTAAATGGTTAATCTTCTAACTAAAGTGACGTAACATCCTTAGTGACTCCATAACTAATTAATCCATTTTCATCAGTATAATCGTCAGTTGCTTTTAAACATAAACACCAATTTGTAAAATAACTATTGTAAAATGTGTTTCTCTGGGACACTTATAATCTTAATAATCATCGTTGTT